TTAACAAGCCACTCTAACACTTGGAATGAGATTTAAGCCTTGAAGACAGTAAATGATTAAGAGAATCTTACAGCATGGACCCTATGAATGAGCTTACATTGCATAATTTTTTACCTAGCAAACCATCCAGTGTATTTGTTTGTTTGTTTGTATGTATGTATATGAATATATAATTGTGCATGTATATTTTAACATACAAAATATTATCTAAGAATTAAAGAATACTCTAACTGTACACACTTGACAAATTATCTAATTATGTGCTAAATCTTTAGATCCTTGTACTAGGAGGCAAATGTGTCAAGGTTCCTACCTTTTCAGGACAAGTTGCTAGCCTGTATTCAACTGACATTTTCTTTCAACTCTGTAAAGAATATGATGCTCCCATTTTCATGTCTTACTGCACATAAAAGCCACGGTAAATCACGGACAGGCTCCATGATTGGCTATCACTGCTCAGTTCAAGTGGACAGGAGAGTAACTGCATGCCAGGCTGAAAACGTTAGAGTACTACTTATAGGCAGTCCATGAGCAAAAGGATAGGCTGCCACACTCAGAGTCCCAGCACACAGTCTACCTGCAGGCTCCAAGGAAAGAGTGGAAACAATGTAACAGTTCGTTCCTCACAGTAGCAGCTTACACACTCTTGGACATACTACCTCAGACAGCCCTTTTAACATAGTTGATGGAAGGCTGTTACTTCTTAACAAAAAAAATGTTACATTTTAGAAACATTAAAAGAAATTCTGATTTCTTTAAATCATTCTACATATACTTATGACCGAACTTTCTGGGGTGAAACCTATAAAATACTAAAGGAGATTTAAAATTGCATAATTCCACAAAAAAATATTTTATCTCAAACACTTAAATTTCCAAGCTTAAAGTTAAAACTTCATTGAAGATAAATAGTAGGAATCAAGATTAAGAAGAAAAAAAATTGCTGTCTTGGAAATACGCATCTATATTGAAAATAGGGAAGAGAAGAGGAGCAATGCATAGGTATTTTACCTAATGATGTTACAGAGAACATATAAATTAAATAACAGTTGTGAGCACAAACATTTAATCATTTTAAAAATTCTACATACCTTGTTATAAATTCATGCTCTCAAAGTAAATAATAAATTTAAAGACAATACTTTATTTGCATGCATCTTCACGGAAAAGCACAGAAGCATACTGTACTGTTATTTTCTATATCAAAGATACAATAGAAAGGTATCCAGATACTTAGTTTTCTTTGAAGAAAATGAGAGATAAGATTTTTACCTATTTTGAAGCTGAACTACCTGCTTTAAATTCTAGTGTTCATTGTGTGTATGAAATTATAATTAATAAATACCACTGGAACAAAGGAAAGATGAAACCTTATTTATATCCTTCCTATAACCATTAAGCTTATATTACTGCTCATATTTTTCTAAAATGATTTTTTAGATTTTATTTCAGTTGGCCTAATGCTCACTGAAATGCCAATGCAAATAGCTGCTTAAATACCTACATATAACAATGACAAATTAAACATTGCTACTATTTATACAGAGAAATACATCTATTTTTTCATATTGTACTCATACACCTGTGGAGTAATGTTCTTATGTTGTTAGGCTTATGAGACCCAATTGGAAATTGGGAAAAGGGTCTTTAACACTCATTCATTTTAGAATCTATATATACACTATTTTATTTTATATTCTTTAATAAGATGCATTTCCTCATGCCATGTCGAATAGAAAGGTCAAGTGAGCCTGACTAGATCACTGACTCCTAATACATGGAATAGCTAATACCCATCCCAACATCATGGCATCCAGCAATATGTCTACCTAATAACAGAAAATATGTATCATAAGTATTCATTACTCAAAACTACTAAATTTTATGACATGTTATATTTATTTCTTAAAAATAACTAAATCCGTAGTTATATATTTAGATCATTATAAATTTATAATCAAACCCAATATAGTAATTGGCTTTCATCCAATTGTTGTTCACTGGGTAGCACTTTGATATGACTGAGATAAAAATTTAATTTTAACTATAATGCTTTAAAAGTGGATTTATAAACAGGTTCTAAAATTAAGGACAGATTTTAAATTAACATTACTATACTGATCAACGTGCATGTGTTCCTGAATTTTAAAATAGATATGTTTTAACATAAGTGCCAAGAAATTATTTCCAGAAAGAAAGCTGCCCTTTTTGAGACACCAATATAACATATGTATATTAAAATGTGAAGATAATGTGTTTTCCATCGAAGCCTAAGCCAATAAGCAAGAATGCTGGCTAGCACATCATGTATTTAGTTTCACACCTTACTTTGAAAAGTATATCCAAAAGAAATATCTAGCCCATAAAAAATAAAAACTGTATCAAAATTCCTTTGCCGGAAAATAAACTCATTGTTTGAATGCTAATTGTTGGGCTATGTTTCTATTCTATTGCAGGAGAATATACTATATTGGAATGTTAAAGCAGAGGGCAGAAAATTCAGCATTTAGAGTAATATGTTTATTTATTATAAAAAAAAACTAAAGACTTTCCTATTAACATTGCTAAAAAAAATACCTTTTAATTACAAGTATAATTCAACCCCAACTCCAATTAGTGCCTAATTAATGTTACAGTGTGTTAATGGCATGGTCTTCCTCTCCTGGAAATGAAAAATTCTCATTTTATATTTTTGCTGAAAAATAAAATGGCCAATATAAAGAAATTTATAAATAGAAGAATCACAATTTGCCTTTAGCAACTGTTACAATCTCTGGATTCCCTTCTTATAATCTTGACTTTTCTCCAGAAGGTCTGAGCTTTATCTTGATAACCACTGCATTTCATTTCTTTTTGTCATGCAAGCAAAGCAAATAACACTGTTTCTTGATGAGACTGATGCCACATGTCTTTTAACAGATTTTATTCTGAAATCTAACATCAAGTACAAATGCCTACTATCCTTCTTCCGAAGACAGAATTACTAACTTTACAGATAAATAAAGCGGGAAGGCTTCCAAAAGCATTGTTATTACTACCCTCAATCCACTGACTTTGAGCCACAAAGCCTGCTCTGAGTCCATAATAGTGTTTCACATACTATGTAAATATTTTTATACTCCCATTGTTTGAAAACAACTCAAATCCTTTCAAAGAAAAGGAATCATGGTGCCCTAATTCCAATCTTAAACGCATATTTGATCTTGTTCATATCTTTAGCACATATCCAACCAGGGAAATGGAGTTGCTTAATTTGGGGAATGCATTTATTGCAGATGTTTTTCTAACAAAAATTTTTTGCATTAGTATTTTACTATGACATGCTCAAGAATGAGTGGGGGTTTTTTGGATTTTGTTTTCCTTAATGTGAGGAAACACCCTCCCCAAATGATAGAAATATTGGCAAATAAATTTAAAACAACACTAAAAAGGTACAACCCGAGTAAGTTAAGACTATGACTTCTTAAAAGCCACAACTTATTTGACACAAAAAGCATGAGCGTCACCCGAGTCCTTATGTAATAGGCCAAGCTTCAAAAGTACTAAAAATATAATAAGCAAAAGTGTGATTTCTTAATAAGACTAAATGATTTTCTAGCATCTTGGGAATTCTTAAGACTTTTCATGCTTAAAATTAAACAGTTGGAACATTCTGCCAATTAAACGAAGCTCTACAGATGGCTTTTACACTTTTGCTTCATAACAAAAAAGATATGCAGTCATTTTTATAGACGATTACCTAAAGAGAACATTACTGTAAATCAATGGCAAAAATATTAGACACCCCCTTTCTCCGGGCTGGAATATGCATCTCTAGATGCTTGCACTGACATCTAAGGTGATAAATGATCTAGGCCAAATCTTAAATAATAGCTGTCGGGTTCCAGCTAGTACGGATGCACTTCTAGTGTACCCCCAAAACACCAGGATTGAGCTTTCTGCCAACAAAGGACAGCAAGTGATTCCCTGCAGCATAAAAGCCGGGCAGGCCACCCTGGGCTTTGTTTTTGTTATGTAAAATGCATTAAAGTGACTCACCCACTTAAGACTACCTACTCTGAGAAGCTTTAAAGTACCTTCAAGAACCAAAATAAATGCTTTCCCAGAATGCCAGATAAGCTATTCAGCGCTTTTTAAAAATATGTATATATTTATATGTGCCACTGACTCTGATTCCTTCTTGCAGCCTGAGAAAGTGGAGAACGGTTGCATTGCGTTCCCTTCCGCCGTGTGACTATAGCTACCTTTCAACACTATTTCCAGAATAGCAACGGGTTTTTTTTTTTTGAAAGTTATTTTAGAAATGTTAAAAATAAGAGAAAATTGCAGGAGTCTGTGGAAACAGTCCCTCCCTCAAAGAATAGGGGTTCTATTCATTCTAAGAACAGGAACCGCGTGTCTGTCGGCACTTAGATGTTTCAAATAAAGGGTTGGATAGGTTGGCTTGGGTGGCCCTGGAACCTGTGAGCGCTGGGGTGGACAGCAAGCTCAGCTGCCGGGAGCGAGCTGGCTGGAAACCAGGGAAGCTGTCAGGCGCTCCTAGTAATTTGGGATCTAAATGAGTTTGGACAGCACAGCAATTAGCATCCTAGAGGCCAAGTACACGAGAAGCGCACACTCCCTCAGCCAGCCTGAAATTAACTCTGTGAAATACCTAACGGAAACACAACTTTTCATCTGGCCGGGTTTGGTGGGAGCTGGGTATGCCTGCAAAGTTTTTCCCCAAGTCCGGCTACGGGCTTCAGCGTGGAGCATCCTCGGAGACCCGGCTGAGACGCCGCCGACGGCTAGCGGACGTTCCCCGGGACGGCGCGGCCGGCCGAGGCTCCGCACGCCGGTTCCGAGCTCACTCCGGCGGCCAGCAGCGCACGGCTCGCACGGCTCGCCCGCCCGGCCTCCGCGGCTCCCAGCCACGCTCCCCGCCCCCCACGGGCGGCCCGGCGCCCGCCGAGCCGGGACCCCCGCCTCCAGCCCCCGCCCGGGCGGGCCCGCCGACTTACGTGACGGCCGAAGGGAAGGGCTCCTCGCACGAGGGGCCGATCAGCCACGATTGGAAAAGTGTCAGAGCCAAGGCCAGCAGGCAGCCAGCAGCCATCTTCGCGATCGAAGATCAGTGCCCTCCTTGCCCGCCCGGAGGCGGCGGGGCTGCACGCGGCGGCCGGGGAACCGCGCCGGGGAGCCGACGTCTCCGGGAGCGGGGGAGCGGGCGAGCGGCGGGCAGGGCGCGGGCTGGCGGGCCGGGCGGGCCGGGCGGGGCCGGGCGGGCTCTCTAGCGCGTGGCGGCCGCTCCGTGCCTCTTTGGCTGCCTCGCCTGCGCCGCCATCAAGGGCGACCGTGGAAACGGAGCTCGGCCAGCCTGCCGGCGCCCGCGCGCTCTGGCTCCCCGCGCTCGCCTCCCTGATTTATCCGCGGTCGCCCAGGCGAGGGCGGGGGCGGGGCGGGGGCGGAGGGGGCGGCGCGGGGACGCGGCGGCTGCGGGGATGGGGGTGGCCGGAGCCGGGCTCGGGCTGCCTTCCCCGGGCGGGTCGCGGGGCGGCGGCCGTGGGTGGGCAGCGGGAGGGCCGGGCGTCAGAGCCGGGCGGGGACGGGCCGGGCGCAGCCCTCCATACAAGGCGGAGAGGAACTCCCAAAGTCGGCGTCTCCGGCTCCCGCCGCGGGGCGTGCGGAGGCCGAGCCGACCCGGCCCGAAGGGGCTCCCCAGGGGACCCCCGGCGGCCCGCGGGCAGCCCCGGGCGCGCAGGCTCCTGCCGAGCACTTGGCTCGCCTCCTCCTCCGGGGTTATTTTTTGCACAATCTGGCAGGGGCCCCCAAGCGCTGCTCCCAGGCGGAGAATCTACTGCCTGCCTAGGAATCATGAAGTGATTTGACAACAAATGTAGGAGGGGTTTGTGGTGCGTTTGAAAGCGCCTCTGCCGACTCTACCAGGTGGCACTGTTTTTCATGGTGTGCCAGGGGTTACAGCTTTTGACAGGGCTGGGGACTAATGGTGCCAGCGGCCCTGTGCCCAGATACAGCTAGACTCGGTTTACCTGGCGGGGAAGGAGCCTCAGGGGAGGGCTGGGAGTAGATGAAGAACAGCTAAGGCTGTTTTTTTCTACAGTGCCGTAGGAATGAAGGGTAGAGGGATGAATACTCCTTCGAGGGCGGTTACTGTGGCAAGGGGCTTTGGTAACATCCTAGTAAGCAACCTTCCAACCGGTTGAAAAACTCCCTGTCCTGACCACTGGACGGCTTTGCCAGACAAGGTTGTTGCCGGGTGAATTCACTGTGTCGGTGTGAACACAGAACGGAGTTAACATCAGAAACAGGTGGCACTCTGCAAAATACATCTGAAACATGGAGGAAGGGCTGGTTTCACCTCCACCCTCGGGTGAAGTAGTGGCAGGGCTTCTATGCCTGGGTCTTCTAGAAACAGAACAAAACAAAAGGTCTTCAATTATACCTCCCCTGACTGGCTCAGGCCACCTTCAAGGATGGATTTGGTGGGCCGCTGCTAGAAAGGCTTCATGGAGCAGCACAAATTCTTCAGCTGCCTCCAGAAGGATATGAAAACACTTGACATGAAGTCAGAGAATACAGTTCGAGATGAGGGGGAAAAAAAGACCCTCCCGCTAAGGCGAAGAGTCTGTAACGATTCCTGCGGCTGTAAGATTTTTAATCACCCCTCCCTCCTCTCTTGGGGCCCAGGGGTTTATGGAAGGATAGACCGCTACTCATTTGGAATTGATTCTCTAAAGGCAACTTCCCCAAACAAAGAGATGATGGTGGTAAGGGTGATTGTGGCCAGATCACAAATGAGTTTGTGATTTTATGGGGTTTGGCCCTGTGGTTCAGCTTTCCTTCCCCTTACCGCTTCCTTTTCACGCCGTATTTGTTTTCTTTATGTCCTCTGCATCTCTATCTCGCCCTTTGTTTCCTTCTTCCTACTCTGAGTGGCCTCACAAAGGCACCCCAGAGCGACTTAACTTAGTTTGTTTTGTGTTAGGCAGAGAAAGAGCTTGGCACCAGAGCTGCGGCATGAGGGATGAAGTGGGATGTAATGGGATTGAGAGCCACAGCTCTGACGGATATTTTACAACTGCTGATACCTTTTCTTTCCAAAATTAGACACCCAAATAGTCAAATCCATCATTCTTTTCAATTTTTAATGACTCATAGGCTGATCTTCTCCAGCACGAGGATTAGAACAAGAGAATTAGATGTTCATTATTGTCTACATAATGTGTTGGTATCATAATGGGCTTACTATATTAAAATATTGTTATAATATATTCTATCAATTATTTCATTAATATGCCAGGCTTCCTACCATAGTACATGATTTCCAATGTTACATTTTTTTTTTCAGGACAAAAGGCTTATAGAGTAAAAGAATGTAAAAAGGTTCTTGAGAAGGTAAGTCAGGTTTTATTATTAACTTTGCTGATCTCTGATAGAGTACTGTGCTCTGCCGTAGCTGAAACTGTGGTAGGAAGAAGTTGCTTCCACAACTCTTATTTTGGAGGGTAGGAGGTTTTCAACTACAAGCCTAAATCTTTTAATTCTCTGCAGTGAGATTTAGCTGTTAATTGTTTTTGTCAACACAAAACTTTTAAATGAAAATATTCAAAATGAATTTCTTTAAATATACATTATATATATATATATATATGATAGCTAAAACAAAGTCACCTTCACAACATGCATTATGTGTCTACTGGATTAACCATACCCTTTCACAATGTTTTCTTATCTCAATTGCATTGTTTTAAGAAAGTTCCATAAAGCTCATATTATATTCCATTAATTTTAATAAAAGTTCCCTAAATCCCCAAAATCTGTCAATCAAGCTAAAATGTTTATGAATCAAAAGGACTGATGATAAAAAATGGCTGCATTATAGCCTAAAAACAGAACAAGAAGCAAAAAACTCAATGTCTAATATTCATTTAAGCAAAATCATTTTAATTGGAAAGTAAATTAGTGAAGCATTGCAGAATATTTTGTATTTCATCAGTTCTGCAAGAGAGTTTTAAGGGGATTTAATGAATGGAAAATATTAACTTTTGCTTACAACAGATACGTGATTCGTCACTTCCTGGTACCTCTCAATAGTTACCCTATCAAGGAAAGACAAAAGAGTGGAAGGATCAACTGCTGTGCCTCCTTGGAGAATCCTTCCCAGGAGAATGGGAAGAAAGCAAGGCAGAAATGGAGTCCCTGGAGAGTGGTCAAGGGAATGTGCACTGAAGTTCAAGTTGGAGAGAGAGTTCTTTCTCAGTGCTTTAAAAATAAAGTGGCACCAAAAAGTCTTCATTTAAAACAATGGAAAAAGAAACTATTCTAAATTAAGAAATATGGTCAAATGTTTCCTATAAACAAACTATTTAGAATAAACTGGCCCAAGTAAGATAGAAGATAGATATTTAGATAGATAGATGATAGATTGATAGATAGATAGATGATAAATAAATAGGGCATTCAACTTCTGATGAAAGAAATGCTTTTCTACGTAGACAACAAGCAGTGTTGAACACATTTACTGCTCTCGATTGTTTGTTTATTCACTTTCATGTAAATTTATGCTGGCCTCTATAAAACATCATCAAATCTGTACATAAGCAATAGCTCTTTCCTTCCTTCCTTCCTTCCTTCCTTCCTTCCTTCCTTCCTTCCTTCTTTCTTTCTTTCTTTCTTTCTTTCTTTTTCAGGATTTTTCTACATAGTACTGCTGTCCTGGAACTTACTATATATATAAACCAGGATGGCCTTGAACTCGTAGAAATCCACCTGTCGCCTCTTGAGTCCCTGGATTAAAGTCATGCATCACTACACCCCAATATAACAATAGATTTTATGTTATTCAGCTTCCAAACTCTGCTAATCATAGAATTTCACACTCAGCTTTTTTGTTCTTGTTTGATTTTCCCTATTCCTCGCTCTCCACTTCTGTTAATCATAATCACATTTCAGGACCTGCAGAAAATAATGACCCACAGTATGACTTTCTACTAAAAAAAAAAAGAAAAGAAACCCTCCATTTCTCTAAAATCTAGATTTCATAGAGTCTTCAGTCCATCTACAGAGTGAGAAATGTGTTTTGTTTTGTTCTATTGGTCTGTAAATTAGAGCACAGTACATAGAATGCATGTCCTCAGGCATACTTAGGCAAAGGGAAGTGGGAAATTCAATTACTTGCCCAAACATTCGCTAGCAACAGCAATGCATGGGAAGCAGTCAAAAGAGATAGATAGAAAATGTTGAAATGGCCAACAATACTGATTGCAAGCATTGTTTCCAGTCTCCTATAGCATATTGATGAGCTTTCTAGCAAAGAGGAAGACAGCGGATACCATCTATGGGTCTTCCTCTTCTAAGGCTTTGTTTTCGTGTTCCGTAAATACAGAAACTTACCACTACAGTCTAGCATGTTTCTACACAACAAAGGCTGTGTTGTGGAACACAGTCAGCTGTTACTTACTACAGTAGACTACAGAGGTTGTTCGGTTAATCTGTCAGATGGGGGTCCACAGAAGCACTGCAGGAGAGGGTGGCCAGGAGTCCACCCTGCGGTAATGAGCATGGGAGGAAAAATGTGAGCACCAGTGTACTGTTGTTCCCATGTGTGTTCAATTTAGAGGTTTAAATGCCTAAGATTGCTAGAACACATACACAACCATCTGAATACATTTAGGGAACTCTACTTTTAAAGTCATATTGCATTGATAGATGACAAAATAAAGATCATGTTACTATGGTTAATCACAGAGGGGAAAGTGAGCTTTTGTAGTTGTACATGTATACATCTGAAAACCAATAGACTAAATATTATCCAGGAACAGAAACTTACTCAAGATATACAGAGTGATCAAGAGTAATCCCCAAGATTCTGGATAATTTTGGGAAAAATGCTATGATACATAAGCAAGTAAAGGATATTGTTATATGCTATCCGATGTTTTCTTTTTTCCTGACCAAATCACTACAGTTTTAAATATCACATATCTTTAAAACTAGAGAAGGATTAGAAAAATTCTAAGTAGCTTTGTTGTGCATAATTGGAATTTATAGACATTGATTTTCTTTTCCGACACACAAGTGTTAGGTTTTCCACTTGGGTGGCCTATTCTTTAAGGATGTAACTCTTAGAGTGTCCATAGCTAACTAGAAGAATTGATTGAACAAATGTGTCAGCCAGGATGAAGATGGTCCACAGCAATGTTGTAAAGATCTCAAGGTGAGTTTATTGACTACCTGGATGTTGCTGGGAGCCTTCCTGCTATAGAGATTAACATATCTTTTGTTTTACAGATTGTTATTCTTTGTTTTCCAGATTGTATTTTATGCTGTTAGGAGACTTGTAAATTAGTTTTTAGTTAGTTTAAAACAGATACATAACAAAGTATTTAATAAATAACACCAACTTGGAAAGATTTTTTTTGTGTTCATTATCATACTCTAATA